CTTACCTGTTTTCTGCACTTTTGCTCCAAGTAGCTGTAGCAAAAAGAAAGTGCTGCTATTTCCCTAAAGAGCTTTCTCCTATATCAAGCCCTTTACTCCCCTTGAACTCAAGTCAGAGGAGCCAAACAGCTGTAGCCCCTTGGAGGGCTTTTATACCTGGTGGGATTTGCCCCCCCCCCCCCCCCCCCCCCCTTTTCTGGGGTATCATGGGAATGAGAGGCGGTCACAATCAGGGGTATATTAACCCCAGCCTTTACTGGGGGGCCTTCATTCCCTCTCTGGGATCAGCTAGGATAGGAGCTCTTCTCTCATTTTAGTGAAGAGGCTCTTTCAGTTTATCTCAGCTTGTTTTTAGCAAGTGCTTTCAGATGTCTAAAGCAATAGAGGCTTTGAAGATACTGTGAAGAAAACAATATAGAATACAGGGAGTATTTAAGTTCACAGTTTTGGGTTTTGTGTTTAGGGGTGGTAAGGTGCATTTGTAATTTCTAGTTTTGTTCTTATTTTGTTTTGTATTTTTTTTTAGGAGAAGTGCAGCTTCCAGAGGCTCCGGGTTGTGTTAACTACAGCACTTTTCAGCAGATGCATCGTGTTACAAGAGGGATCTGCCCAGCGTCCAAGATGAAGTTTGAGATTCAGGCTTCAGGTGAGTTGAGGATTGTGACTAGGAGAGGGAGGCTGAGCAGGTATCCAGTTAGGAGTTATTGTTGGGGGGGTGGTTTTGAAGGCAGCAGGGTGAGAAAGGGTGTTTATTTGAGCCCCCCACCCAAGGCCTTTTAGAAGCCAAGCAGAGGCATTCCCACGTCTTACAGCACACAAGGTCATCCACTGTACTCACAGGAATGCCATTTTACTTTGCATTTCTCTTACCCAGGTGCCACTCATAATAATGGCCACACCGTTGGAATCAGGATGAAGCTGGAGCCTGAAGGAGCCAGGCACACTCAGGAGAGGGCAAGTATCTGACTTGCTGGGATTTGGCCCACATAACTCTGTACTCATACTTTGGTTTTGTTTTTCTTTATTGTAGCTGACCGAGAGGCTAACAGGCCATCACGGGGCCCTCCGAGGCAGACTCATTTCAGGTGCAACGTGGACCCTCATCACCGCTCATCCAAAAGATAAGTCAGGGCCACGGCCTGGAGATGGGACGATGGGAGAGTAGCGGGTTGGGAGTTCCTGGGACAGATTTAAAAATTTGCAGAGGGAAAAGTAATCCTCTCCAAGGGGCCTCTTAGGGCAGCTAAAGGGAGAGGCTCTACTTTTGAAGGCAGCTTTCAGGCGGGCAGCGCAGAACAGTTCCGGTCCACATCGTGTTGTCCGGTGTACTGTGTTACCTAGTGTGTCTTTGGGGTCCCTTTTGCCTTTTCCCCTCGAGGCCCTCACCACAAGCATGATGTGTTGTTTGTTGTCCCCCTGTTTGTCACGTTCCGTGTCACGGGTGTCTGCACATATTTGTGCCAGAGCTGCTCTGCCCTGCCCTGCCGCATAGCCTGCTGCAACAGGACAAGTCCCAGGGACTCGCAGTTTGTGGGGTGTCGCCGGACTCTAGATGATATTCCTAAGTAGACACAAGATGTTTGGAGCTGTGAAGTTATCCTGCAGCCCTTTGAATTTTGTCCTCACTTTCTTTCAGATGCAGAAGAATAAAACCCAGGACAAAATCCATCCACCCATCCCGAGTGAGGAGGTTCCCCTGAGCAGGTCAGTCACCGTTTGTCTCTGCAGGGGGAGTGTAAAGTGTGACTTTGTTACAGCACTGTTCTTTTTCTTTTTAGGAGGTAAAGCTGGATATCAGCAGTCAAGATGAGGTGGTCAAGGTGAGCATTGAGTAGCGTCCAGAAGCAGTTGTTATTGCTCAAGTCTCACTTTCCGGTGCAACTCTAAGCATCCGTTCCTGTTTCTGCGCTTTAGGCAATCCACTCAGAGTATGCCGAGCCCCAGTCACCGACCGGCCGACGCACCGGGTGTGCCGCTCTCCCGAGCCCTGGGGAAGAATCGCGGGACTCGGCGATGAAGCCTCTGCCCTTTCTATTTAAAGGTGTCACCAGGGTAGCCTTCTTCAATGGCCGAGGAGTTGTGGTGAGTCAGGGAAGTAGGGAGGAGGAGCGAGGGTCCACTCAGGTTTCAGCAATGCCACATCACCTCGTCTCCTTTTAACCCAGGCTTACCCCGTGACGATGGCATCAGCCTTGGAGTGTGACCAAAGGGTGCAGCCCCAGGAGACAGGCATTCTTAGGAAAAGAGTGAGTAGCAGAATTGTTGGGTTTTAGCCAGTGTGCTGCAGAGATCATGCATTGATATTTGGATTTCTTTCATGTAGCTGACTAAGAAACATCAGGAAGATGTTGAACAACAGTGCCAGCAGGAACTTCCCAGCTGTCGAGGCCGCCTTCTTTTGTACATGACACAGACCTGCATCCCCAGATGTCCGAGAGATAAGTAGAGGGCTGCAACCCACAGAGGGGATGAAAGCGGGGCGCAGGGTAGGGACCCACCGGGAGGGGTTTTTGAGTCACCTTTGGAGATGGGGGTGTCCATGAAGCGGCCCCTTAGGGCCCATAAAAGGAAAGTGTCACTTTTGATGACAGAACTGAGGTGCGCAGGGCAGAGCAGTCCTGGTGTGTATCGTGTCCCTTGTCTATTGTGCATTATGTGTTGTTTGGATATGTCATGTCTTTTACCTTAGCCCTTTGAGGGGCCTATCAGAAACCCTGGCATCATTCTTAGCATCTGTGATCTCTGCATTCCTTGGCCTGGTACCTATGCCATAGAAGTTTCAACTTGGGAGCTCAGACAGGCATCAGACTCTCTTCTCTTTTTATAAGCATCCAGTCAGATCTCTTTTCAGGTCTTGTTCTGAGCTGTATGGACAGCTATGCCCGCCAGGGTCCATTAAGGCTGAGTTGGACTTGTAAGAATGTGAGGGCAGGTAGAGGATTCTGACTGTAGGATTTCTGGGTATCCATCTTTGCAGTTCTTGGAATAAATCATTCAGTTAGTATCTTCCTCCTTCAGTGTTTTCTGAGCCTCATGGTCAGCTCACCATCACTCTCACCTCGATCATCTCCTTTTGCATTCTCTGTCCTTGCAGCCATTTTCCTTGCCAAGAGATTTTTGTCTGTGTCTTGTGCCTGTGGTTTGTCACGTCCTGTCTGTCCTGTGTCACGGGTGTCTGCACACATTTGTGCCAGAGCTGCTCTGCCCTGCCGCATAGGCTGGTGCAATAGGAGAAGTCCTGGGGACTTGCAGTTGGTAATGTGGGGTGTAGTTGGACTCTAGATGGGATTTATAGATGGATACAAGATGTCTGGAGCTCTGAAGTTATCCTGCAACAGTTTGACTCTTGTCCTAATTTTTTTTTCAGATTTTGGGTGGATTAAATCTGTGTCAGAGCGCCCCATCCCAGGTGAGCTATTTCCCCTGAGCAGGTGAGGCACCATTTGTCTCTGCAGCAGAAGTGTATGTGGTGACTCTGTTACAGCTCTGTTCTTTATCTTTCTTTTTAGGAAGTAAATCTGGATACCAGCAGTCAAGGTGAGCAGTGGAGAGTAGTTGTTATTGCTCCAGTCTCAATTTCCGGTGGAGCCCTAAGCTTCCATTCTTGTTTGTGTGCTTTAGGCAATCCACTTCGAGTATGCTAAGCCCCTGTCACCAGCTGGCTGATGCACCGGGTTTCCTGCACATGTGAGCCCTGTGGATGCATTGTGGACCTGGTGATGAAGCCCTGAACTTTTCTCTTTAAAGGTGCCATCCAGGTGGCCTTTGGCAATGGCCCAGGAGTTGCAGTGAGTCAGGGAAGTAGGGAGGAGGAGCAAGGGTCCACTCGGGTTTCAGCCATGCCAAATCACCTCATCTCCTCTTAACCCAGGCACCCCCCGTGATGATGGCCTCGGTCTCCGAGCGTGCCCGAAGCGTGCGGCCCGAGCAGCTGAGCGTTCTTAGGACCATGGTGAGTAGCAGACTTTTGGGGTTTTGGCCGATGGGTTGATGAGATCAGGTACTGACGTTTGGTTTTCTTTAATACAGCTGTCTCAGAGACACCAGCCTGGTGCCAGCAGCACCTTCCCAGCTGACGAGGTGGCCTTTCTTTGCACCTGAGACCAGCATCCCCAGATGCGCGAGAGATAAGTAGAGGGCTATGACCCACAGAGGGGATGAAAGTAGGGTGTGGGTTTGGGAATTACTGGGAGGGGTTTTTGTGTCCGCTTTGGAGGAGGTGGGGGGTGTTCATGAAGTGGCCCCTTAGGCCCCCTAAAAGCAAAGTCTCACTTTGGATCACAGTGCTGAGGTGCACAGGGCAGAGCAGTCCCGGCGTGTATCATGTCACTTGTCTTTTGTGCATTATGTCTTGTTTGGGTATCTCATGTCTTTTATCCTAGCCCTTTGAGGGGCCTGTCAGAAACCTTGGCACCATTCTTAGTATCTGTGATCTCAGTGTTCCTTGCCCTGGCACCTATGCCATGGAAGTTTTGACTCAGGAGCTCAGGCAGGTATCAGAATCTCATCTCTCTTTAGAAGCATCCAGTCAGATGTCTTGTCACATCTTGTTCTAAGCTGTACAGAGAGCCGTGCCCCACAAGGATCCATTAAGGTGGATTAGGCCTTCTAAGAATGCGATGTTAGGGAGAGAACTCTGACTGTAGGATTCTCGGGCATCCATCTTTGCTGTTCTTGGAATAAATCATTCAGTTAGCATCTTCTTCCTCCAGGGTTCTCTGAGCCTCATCAGCTCACCATTGGTCTCACCTTAGTCATCTCGTTTTGCATTCTCTCAGTCCTCGCAATCATTTTCCTTGCCCAGAGATTTCTGTTCCTGTTGTGTCCCAATTGTTTGTCACGTCCTGTCCTGTGTCATGGGTGTCTGCACACACATTTGTGCTGGAGCTGCTCTGCCCTGCCGCATAGCCTGGTGCAATTGGACAAGCCCTGGGGAGTTGAAATTTGTAATGTGGGGTGTAGTTGGACTCTAGATGAGATTTGTAGATTGGAGCTCTTAAGTTATCCTGCAGACCTTTGACTTTTGTCCGAACTTTTTCTTTCAGATGCAGGAGGATAAAGTCCAGGGCAGAGCACCCCATCCCGGGTGAGGGGATTGCCCTGAGCAGGTGAGTCACTGTTTGTCTCTGCAGAGGAAGCATGAATGGTAGCTGTTACAGCATTGTTCTTTGTCTCTCTTTTTAGGAAGTCAAGGCAGAGGGCAGCCGTCAAGGCTGAGTGGGCAAGGTGAGCATTGAGTACTGTACAGAAGCAGTTGTTATTGCTGAAGTCTCAGTTTCTGGTGCAGCTCTAAGCATGTACTCTTGTTCTTTTTATTTTAGGTGGTCCACTTACAATCTATCCTGGCTAAGCATGACCATGCCAGGTGGGTGCAAGCTTAAGGTATTGGTGTGGCATCCTTGTCAGATTTGGGAGGTTGTGTTTTCACAGTATCTCAGCATGCTTTTCTGCTTTGTTTCTTTGCAGGTGCTGTCGCTGCCCTAGGCACGCCAAGGAACAGAGAAGGGCAGGTGAGCCATTGTTTAGGCAGGCTGACTCCTAGGTGAGCATTACACAGCAGCATGCTAAGTGTGTACCTATTCTTTTTGCAGGTATCTTCTGGGCAGCCTCCGGAGTCAAATCAAGATTTGAGGTGAGCCGGGGCAGTGGTACAAAGGAGTCCTGGGGATTACTGTTGTTGAGGGCAATAGTCACCTTTTCTGTTTTGTCTTACGTACCCTGAGGAGGCTCTTAGCCAAAGCTTGGAAACGGCAGCACTGAAGCACACGTGGAGGACATCTCAACGTCCAACCAACGATGGCTTTTGTCCGCTTGTCTTCCAAAAGCTAAGTGTCAGGGCCACTGGTTGGGAGAAGGGGAAAAATCTTTACTATCACAGGGAGCAATTGATGTCCGCTTAGCAGAGAGGTCTGTAGCGGGACAGGCTCTCTGGAAGTAAAGGGAGAGGGTTTCTCCTCAGCCTGACCAGAGCCTTTGCCGGGCAGGGCAGTTCCGATCCATCTCCACGTTCTCAGGAACTTTGCGTCGTCCGCCTTCCTCGACTCGACGTTGTCACGGATCTTTCCCCCGAGGAGCTCGCCTTCACGTCTGGAGCTATCGCCACGGTCACCCGGCAGTCGGCTTCTTTGTCTAGGTTTACGCAGCCTCTTGAGCATCCTCTTAACTGCTTTGCTACTAACTTCTTATAGTGAGTTACGTTTCATCATGTGCTATCATCGTAGGGCTTTCTTTCCTTTGGCATCATCGGCCTCTGGCTCATCTTGCAGTAGGAATCTTGGGTCCATAAGGTCAAAGTGCCAGGCAGTTTCCAATTGTCTGTTATGTTGTCTGTGTCTGTTATGTTGTCTGTGTCTGTTATGTTGTCTGTGTCTGTTATGTTGTCTGTGTCTGGTATGTAGTGTGTGTCCATTGTCTTCCGTGTAGTAGGCTTTTGTTACGTCTCGATGCTTTATCGGCACTATTCTGTGCCATATAGGCTGTATTTTACTCACGTTCCTTCCCGGATATCGCTTATTCCGGCATCTTTCCTTTTTTACTCTTTGAGACAGGAAGGATTACACAAGGTGTCATGCATCTTCCTTCTCACTACTAGCTTTGGTAGTGCCTTTTTTTCCATGCCATTCTCTTGGACTTCTAGAGGGAGTGTCTTACTCCCTCCTCAGGTGACTGCAGTAGTTCTGTAGGTTCTATCTTCTCAAAAGGTATATGGCTCAAGAATTAATCTTCTAGAGAGTTATCTGAAGTTCTGGCTCATGCTGTATGTACAGATGTCGCCTTATATTGTGTGTACTTACACTATACATACACTTGCACTGTATGTGTCAGCTTATATTGGGTGTACTTATGTTGTACCACTTATAACTGGAGCTGCTCTGCCCTGGCACATAGTCACAGGTAGAACAGTTATATAAATTTTACTGTTCATCTGTCTTCTATGGCTAGATAGAAGACCGATGAACAGTAGATAGATTTTGGGTAGAAAATTTATCGGTCCAGAGCGGGGACAAGTCCTAGCTATCAGATAGCCACTTGTTGACTGCTTCCTGTCATCTCACAGGTACCCGAGGCTACTGATTTCCCCAGAATCTACCATTTGATGTCAAGGAGCGGCAGCCAGAAGATGTGTCGCAGCACGTTCTTCAGTGTCTCAAGTAAGGGCTGCAGTGAGTGTAAGTTGGAAGAATGTGTGAGTGTGTGTGACAGCATGTGACTGTGTCTGTCTGTGTCGGCTTGTCTCTGCACATGTGAGTGCATTCTGACTGGATTTAACCTTGTGTGTGTGACGTTTGCCTTTCAAGTTTTTCAACTCATTTTTAAATTTAGAATAAAAAATCCCCAGCCAGAGTTCCCCCCCCCACCCCGCGGCTGGGTTTTTTTCCCTCTGTCCCAGTTAGTCTGCGAGGTGACATTCATTGCTGGAGTTTGCGTGTGGACCAGCCAGGGACTGGGGTTTTCGTCAGGCAGGAGGATTGTTTGGAGGCTCCTGGGACCTGTGTTCCTGAGGCATGGTGTGAATGTGTGCTGGGGGTTAGCAGACTGGTTGAGGTGTGAGTGTGGGTTTGTGTGTAAGCTGAAGGAAGTGTGTGTGATATTGAAGGGTTCTAGGGTTGTAACCTTGTATGAGTTTGGCTTTTCAGGTTTTTCAACTCATTTTTAAATTTAGAATAAAAAATCTCCAGCCAGGGCCTGTTTTTTTTTTTTTTCCCCTGGCCTGGGTTTTTTTTTTCCTCTGTCCCAGTTTGTCTGCGAGGTGACGTTTGTTGCCAGAGTTTGGGCATGGGTTTTCGTCAGGCAGGAGGATTTTTTTTGGAGGCTCCCGGGAACCACGTTCCCAAGGACCAATGATTGCTGGGGTGTAATTTAGCAGTTGTGACGAGAGAGATGGTGAGTTTGTGTGTAATGTGAAGGGGGTGTTAATGGTAGATGAGTGTTGTTTTCTGTGTGCTTTTGTTGTTTTGGGTTTCCTGTAACAATAAATCAACATGTAATGAAAATATAAACACAAGGTGATAACCTTTTTCTATCTGTGTTGCTTTGCATTGCTCTGCATTTGCATTAGCTGCTGCATTTCCCTGTATTGGTCTATATGTAAATTAGACTTTTAGCAGTGCGTCTATGGATTGTATCTGCACTTGCATTTGTATACACTGTTTCCATGTGTTTTGCTGAAGTGTAAATAAAAACATTCATTTAATAAAGTTGAATCACCCCTAATAAAGATACCCCCTGCCCTTCCCTACCCCCACTGTGGCTCCTGTCTTTTTTTGGCGTGGTTTTGTCATTTCTTTCCACTGTATTTCTTCCTTTTGCTCCTCACTTTACTTTTCTATTTCTACCTTAAATTCTATCTATGTCTAACCCTTTGTTTCTGTTTCTCACTGTTTCTGACAGTGTCTCTGCTTCTGTAACTCTGTTTCCATCTGCTTCCTTTTTTCTGTTTGTCCATTTCACTATTTCTGTCTGACTGTATTTATTTTTCTCTCTTTTGTCTATACTTTGCACCTTATTTCTTTTTCTTAATAACTTTCACCCTCACTCTTCTTGCTTCTTGTTCTCCCTGTGTTCTCCTTTTCCTTGGTGTGTCTTTTTTGCTCTTAAGGGTAGAGTGAAGGAAAAGACTAAGTTTTCACTTTAACTCTGATCCTAACCACTTTCTGTTCCTCTAACTCCTGTACTTCTTCAGTTTTCCTACCCTCCTTTTCTCTCTGTCTCCTTTTCTCTCTGTCTTCTTTTCTCTCCATCTCACTCACCTTTTCTCTGTTGCAACCTTGCGCCTGAAAACCCTGTCGATGATAGAATACTGCCTGGGCCTGTGCTGGCACCTGTTGGGGGGGTGCTGAAATCACTGTGGGGCTGGTAAGTGGATGGTGGGGCTGGGACTTTGAATGAAAATGGAAAAGGTACTAGATCTGAGCAACCTGTCATTTTTATATCTGTTCCTTGGTAAAGGTTACAAACATCTTTGTTGGCTGCCTTCCTTAGGAGCTAAAAGTGCCTGGTGCAACACCTGCTGACATTTCTGATGTTGCTTACAGGATTCAGGGGCGCTGTGCCTGTGGCCAGCTCTGCAGAATATTCCACCAGCTTGTCTTGAGGAGACAGCCTATGAGCCTGCATTTCTTGTACCATGGGCTCTTTTGCAGCATATTCTACTGTGGCCTTTCACAGGTCTTGGCTGTAGTGTGCAAAATACAATTTTCTTCCACTCCTTGTTTCCCCAGCTGTCACTTGCATTTGAATCAGTGTGTGAGCTGAGTGCATCCATGGACTGGGGTGAGCTCAGTTCTGCCAGCAGGAGTTTGACAAGACTGTCTGATGCAGGGCATCAGTTCACTCAGCATTACCTGGATGGTTGCATCCTTGTCTAAATTTTTTGATTACAGAAAATAATCATGTTTATATATATATATTAAAAAATAGATATTTTATAGCAGTTGCAGGTAAACTCTCAGGGTTGGTTTTTGAAATATTTTTTAAACTAAAATATTCTACAATCATGCATGTGATTTTTAACATTTAATACACAAGAATAAATTTCTTGCTGGTTTTAGAGTCTTGCACTGATAGTCTGTGTGGTTTCTCTTCTTTACCTGTTCCAGGGAATTCTTAGGAAACCTCTGTATCCTTGAGGCAGTTTTTCTGTCTGTTCTCAATTGTCTTCTGAAATCCAGACCATTCACTGTGCTGTGCAAAACATGTCTTAGCCTCCCATCACATTAATTCTGAGCACACTGTGTGTTTGGCGCTCCGCCTTTTCCTCTGTCCTTCTCCATGGCCCACTCCTGTTCCTTTTTTATTCTGTGTGGTGATTTCCATGCCATTCTTTCTCACTGGATGCTTGTGAACCATTCCATTTCCCTCTTCTTTTTTAATCCCTCTCTAATGCTGCCTGTCCCAGTCTGGTTTTCTTTGGTTGGTTGTTCTTTGATTTTGGGTTGTTTTTTTTTTTTTTTTTTGGGGGGGGGGGGTGTGTGTTCTTGTTTTGGGGGTTTTTTTTGGTGGTTGTTTTTTGTTTATGCCTTCTTTGTATTCCTTTTATATTCTTGGTGGCTCTCTGGTGCTCCTGTGTGCCATTCCCTATCCCCGTTCCTTTTTAATTCCTCTCTGTTATGCTGCCCATCCCAGGTTTTGTGGTTGTTTTTTCAACTTCATTCTGCACCCCATTCTTACTTTTCTTCTTGTGTCCTCTCTGCTGCCCCTCCCTCTTTCTGCCTCTCTCCTGTGACTGCGGGGCTGGGGAGGAACTTCTGGGGGCTGCCCCCCCATTCTTGTTGCAGCAGAGTCACTTTTGGGGGCGATGTACTCATGGAAAGGGCTTGAATAAAGCACCACTCTGCTGTCCAGGGCAGTTTGATTCCTTCTGTGCCTTCTTTGGGGGTGAGGAAGTAAGGCTGAGGGAGAGGGGCTGGAGACTTGGGGGCTCTGATGTCATTTGGGGCACCGCAATGTCCCTAGGAGGGAGAGCCAGGCTGTAGCCATGATATTTTCTGAAAAATCCTTTCCTTAGCATTTTTTCTCCTGAGAGGCCGCAGGAACAAAATGTAAACAATGATTATCTGCTGCTGTGGAATGCAACAGGTGGATCTGTGATTGGTGTCATGTGGGTGTTTCTAATTAATGGCCAATCACATCCAGCTGGCTCAGACTCTCTGTCTGAGACACAAGCCTTTGTTATCATTTTTTCTTTTTCTGTTCTTAGCTAGCCTTTTGATGAAATCCTTTCTTCTTTTAGTATAGTTTTAATGTAATATAAATCATAAAATAATAAATCAAGCCTTCTGAAACATGGAGTCAACTCCTCGTCTCTTCCCTCATCCTGACTCCTGTGAACACCGTCACACCAGGCTGTGATGGAGGAGCAGGTGAGTGGGGAGTGAGGGGGGGGGGTCATGCTGGGTAACCTTCCCCAGAGGGACCAAAAGCTGCCAGAAAATTCACGCGGAGGGGTGGGTGTAGAACACCAAAACCTGTCAAGTTTTTCGTTTTTATAGGTATTTTCAAAGAATTGGAATTTATCTCTAAAACCATTTGGAAAGAATGGTTTGGAACGAATCTATCCATTCTATTGTATACGGGAATATAGGAAACTCTGACTAGAGATGCGCAGTCGTTTTGAAACCAACGCTATAACGTTTTTACCTAGGAATGAACCAATCAAGTGCCCTTAAACCGTAGGAACAGCTGCTGGGGCTGAAGGGAATAAATACAAAAGGCTCTCCGGCAGCTTCGGCCTCCGTTCCCTGCCTGCCCCAAGGTGCGTCCAGCCCGGCCCGGGCAGGGGGGGCGGTGCTGCCACCTTGTGGGCACAGAACGGTACTGTGCACAGAGAGGAGCGGTGAAGCACAGTTAGGGGTGCAAAGGGGCGTGGCCGGGCTTGAGCGGCCGCCGTGCGGGGCCGTGGCTGGGAAGAACGACAGCGGCGGGGCCGGTTTCGGCGGGCGGCGGAGGCGCGGAGGGGACAGAGCTGCCATTTCAAGACGGCGAAGCGCCCGCGTACCAGGACCCTGCATGAGCCGGGTCGGGCTCCAGCCACACTCAAGATGGCGCCGCGGGAGGACTCCGGCAGAGGCGTCGCCGCCGCTTCCTGCCGCGGTTCGCGGGGCTCCGGTGCCGCTGACCCCGCCACCCGTTTTCTCCCGCCGGGAAAAGCAGCAGAAAATGGCGCTGAGAGTGGATCGGCGTCGGGACCGGGTTGAGACAGCCGGCAAGAGAAACGCCTGTGTGAGGAGCGGGGGATGCTTAAGGGTACCACAACAAAGATGGCGGCTCGGCCGGGAGTGGCTTCTGCCAGTACCAAAGATTGCGGAGAGGAAATCCAGGAGAAATGGCTGCTGGCATCCTGGGCTTGCCAGGCAGGTTTTGTACTTGATTGCAAGGCAGTTTTCCTGCCTCTGCAGGGGGTGAAAACTGGAAAGGGGAGACAAAAAAAAGGTCACTTTTACGCCACACCCAAGATGGTGGCTCAGGACGGCACTCACTTGCCCTTGCAATGATGGCGGCAGTGTGCTCATGCGCCTTGGGTAGGGAGAAGAGAGGGCGGTACGGGAAATACCCCGCTCCGTCTGATCGGAAAAGTGCTTTCTCCTGGGTCTGGGCGGCATTGAGGTCACAACGAGTTCCAAATTATCCTTGTGCCTCTTCTGTTGTGACTAAGTCGGCGTTCCCTGAAGCCTGTGCTGGAGAATGGGAGGAAGATCCCTGCTGGTTGCTGTGTCCTCGGTGGGCAAAGAACTCTGGCCAGATGGCTTGGTGAGTATTGAAAATGTGAAAAGTGCGTATTTTGTGATTGTCTTTTCTCAAATATTAAAATGAATATTATATGTGTTGTGTTAGAAAGTAATGCTGTATTCTCTTAAGTAGTGTGTTAAATATAGTTTTAGGTTATAACAAAATGTTAAAGTAGAAACTATGCTATGTAGGAGACTTTTTTTAAAGAAAGGACTCACAGCGAGATAGCAGTCACAGGACACCTAAATCTTTCAGAGAAAAAGAATTTATTGCCCTCTTATCAGAAGAAACGAACTTCTTCCTGCCTTGAAGGCGCTGTTAGGATTCAGAGGAAGAAGTTGATGATGACCAGACAGAATCCTGTGTTTGAATGGAATTTATGCATCATGTATGAAGTGTATGACTATGCAACAGGCTATTGCTTTTAAGGGTTAATCCTTTGTTAATGGGGGTCCTTTTTCAGGCCCGTGCTGCCCGGAAAAAGGTACCCGGACGTCCGTAACTCTTTGTCTCTATTGTCTCATATTTAATTATATTTGTCCAAATTATTATTACTCTAATTGTATTACTATTTTTATAACCATTTAATTACTGTTAAACTTTTAAAATTTTAAAAACAAGCGATTGGCGTTTTTCACAGGATCAATCCTGCTTCCTTTTCACTGAATTGTTGTAATGAGTCATCAGCTTTTAGCCAGCCTCAGTTCAGTTTCTTTTTCACGAATTTTTTTGGTTGTTTTGATCCTGAACTTGCCAAACCCTTAAGTTTGCTAAATTAACCCTGAGAAGGTTCTACAAGCCAATGCTGAGGGGATTGGATAGTTAGGATCTTACGGCCCTTCAAGGGTTGGGTTCACCCCCTGATTTTGGTGCCAAGGGAAACTCCAAGTTAACACGGATCAAAATAGGAAACAGTTCCCTCATCAAAGTCAGCTTTCCAAACCTCTGTTCAGGATCCAAAAGAAATGGGAATGCCCTTGGCAAAAAAGGTGCTTTTGAGACAAAGTAAGCCTAAAATGCCTGTAAGCAGGAAATCCAGGAGAAATGGCTGCTGGCATCCTGGGCTTGCCAGGCAGGTTTTGTACTTGATTGCAAGGCAGTTTTCCTGCCTCTGCATGGGGTGGCACCTGCATCCCACTGGAAAGGGGAGGGAAATAATTCCCCTCCTTCCCTGGCCCAGCCCTGGAGTGGGAGCAGCTTGCCCTTATCCTGGAGTTATCCTGCTCCTGCCCAGCATCCCTCTGGTACCCTCATGTGCTTCCCAAGCTCCCAGCACTGATGGATCTAAACATGGAGAACAATCCCTGTTCGTTCTCTTCTCCATCCTTGATGTTCGTGGGCCCTGCATCTCCCTGGCTATTCCCTGTCTGACTCCTCATCTCCATCCCACCTTCTCCTGGTCACATCTGAGCCTGAGATGCGTTTAGCAGCAAATCCATTCCTTTAAAGGAAGCCCAGTGCAAAGAGCAACCAGCTGCAGGTAAGTCTTCCTGCATTTCATTTTTCTCTGTCTGCAGGCTCTGTCTTCCTGCATTTCATTTTTCTCTGTCCAGTTTTGGAGGGTTTCTCTCCGTGCTTTCCCATGACCCAGATGTGTCCCTTCCTTTGTCCAGATCCAGTGCCAAAGGATTAAACAACTGATGAGTGGGGTCTGGGATGAGAATGGTTCTGCTAAAATTAGGGAAAGAATGCTAGAAGAAAAATGAGCTTTCTTTGAATGTCTGGAATAAAAACACTGGGAAAGGGCACTTTTTAATTCAATTTGGTGCCACCTCCCTATTTTTTATGGCTAAAACTCCATGGTGAGCAATCCAAGCCAAAAGATGAAATGCAGGAGTCTTTGATTCTGCAGTGAGCTTAACTTCCCTTTTCTCCTCTCTTTCAGGACAGGGAGAACCACTGAACTTGTCCTGGCCTTGCCAAGGTGTTTGAGCTGCCAAATCCAAACTGGTCCTGATGATGGAGGACTTAAGAAATTACTCAATCCAACTAAATGCTTTAAAAAGGGAGATGGTTTGGTTATAAAAATATTTCTGCCTGAGACTGGGAAGAGATTGGGAAGAGTTAAACCCCCCAATTTTGCATAACAGCACAAGGATTTTTTAATTCTTTGCCTTTTTTTCCCTTCCTTTGAATGGGTTTGTTTGTTTCCCCTTGGAAACTGCACACACAATAGGCAGATTTTTCAATTTAGCCATTTTTTCCCACTTTTAGTCTTCAATGGAGCCCAGGTGCCAATTGTTTTCTGCTTGGTTTCTGCCTTCCCTTTCCTGCCTACAGCTTAACCCCTTTCTCTCCTTCCTGCTTTTTGGCCATCACTGGTCATGCAGATGATGCTGATGCAGATGGCTGATAAATGGCTGATAAATAATTATCAAACAGCTTGGGAATAGTCTGTATCAGGTATCAGTAACATTAAAAATGCAGTATATGGACCATCAACCAATGAATTTAGCAACAGTTGGATAGTAACTAATCATCTTTCCTTTGAAGCCCTCTTCATGGCATATTTACTTGTAAAGGGAAAGCGTTTGGTTTTTATTTTAAAAAATACTACAAATCACCAACAGCCAGCTTAAGTGAGCATGGAAGACTGACAAAGACATTGTAATGTTTTTTCTTTTAAATCCCTCACAACCCCATCACGTACTGGGGAGGCAGCTCAGTGAGTTTCAGCCCACAGCTGCCATCCTGTGCTCGTGGAGAGCAACCTCTCCAGCTGTCCCAGCCTCAGGAAAGCACAGAAGAGGGCTTTACACAGATCAGGGATTAAGCTAGACCCAGGTTGGGCTCAGCTCAGTCACCATGGCACTGTTAGAAGCCTTAAACCCTTTTTCTATCAGATTGATTGTGGTTGTGGTGCAGCCACTGTGTTGCTGTCAATGTGCTCCCCTGCAGCCTAGCCTGACATGGTGAGCAGGGGCTTGGGGTTCTGCCTCATGTGTTAAACATCAAACCAGAAGATAAAACAACAGATAAAACCCCTGCCCTCCCATGTGCATCATTCTGCACCACTGCTATGAGAGGAGGGTGAAAGACCCAGTCAGTTTTAGTTCTGTAAAGAAGCTCCAGAGCAGTGATGAGTGCCTGAATCACATCCCCTGCAGCCATCAGGGGAGTGAGGGCAGGGAAGAGGGCAGAGAAAGGGAAATAAAAAAACAACAGAGCCACCAAAACTGGAGGATGTGAGGATAAATCCAAAACTATGCTCTCCAAGAACTGAAAGAACACATTTCTTAAAACACGACATCCAAACTGGAATGAGGGACTTGCACTCTTTCCAGATCTTCCCAGCACCATAACCCATTAAAAAAAAAAAAAAAAGCCATCTGGTGAAATGGGATGCTCCTTTAAACCTTGCAGAGACTTTCTCCAGCACCACAAACCACCCTTCCTGTTGCTCTTCCTTTACCACTCAGGGCTGAGCCATGAAGACCTGCTTCTTTAGTGTGTGTGTGTATATTTCAGGGTTTTTTTTTTAAACCAAGAAAAAAATCAATATCATATTTTTAAAAGAACCCCCAGAGCTTTGGGGAAAGTGGGCATAAATGTCAAACAAAACACAAAGAAAGACTGAGCTACTAAGGGATCTTAGAGCAGCAGTGGTGGGGTGGGAGGGAAGAAATATAGCAGACAAATTTAACACCATTTAGGAGGGTTTATAGACAATGTTTTCATTGCAAGCAGCATTTAGAAGTGACAATTTAGTGATTTATCATATCCCAGCACACTCCTTCCCTGTCAAAGTGATAGGCAGAACCAGCAGAGCAGCTCTGAACACACTGTTCACTACAAGGCACCACCAACAAACCCAGAACAGCTCCACCCTTGCCCAACCCTGTCCCCTTGGGCCTTCTGAGAAGCTGGGATTTAGGAGAAGGCCATGCAGGGGAGCAGTGTTTCAAATATCAAAGGATTTAAAAATATACAGGGCTATGAAAGCCAATGGGACCTGAAAGAATTGAAGGAGAAGGTGTCTTAGCAGAGCATCTTTAGCCAGTGCAGCCAGATAACCCTCGGATATCATTACTGGAGCATCTGGGAGTGAAGCCCAGCAGGAGATGTTGCAACATGAACTCCTGCCCAACATGAGAGGTTCCCAGGGACCAAAAACTCCGTGCAGAGCAGACAGGATCTGACCACAACACCTGCCTTGGGCAAAACCTGCTCTTCATTTCTCACGAGCCACAGAGAAACCTGGTGTATTTATGATCACTTCTCTCACCAGACCTGGTTGCAATCAGCACTGGATCCCAAAACTGAAGGAGAAGCCTTGCGTAGACAATTCCTCCTTCAAGGCTCAGCTCTAGTACCAGGCTTAAGACCTGGCATGCGCATGCATTTGGCAGGGAGTAGCAAATCAAGTGAAAGAACATTTCAGGGTTTTTTTCAGCTGATTGTTTAGGAATTTACTTGGAATAAGCTTCCTCCCCAAGAGGGATTTCAATTCTACACATGCACAAAGAGGAGAAAACATTAATGCAGCATTGAGACAGCTCCGTGGTGAGAGCAGTGGTTTTAAGGTTAAGGCCCTTGTATATCTGGGAGGGTGAAACCTCTGTGTTCAACCCTCTGGGATCATCACTTGGGCTTCCTGTGCTTCTCAAGCTCTCAAAGTAAAATTGACCCACAAAACTCATCTTTGTCTCAATCCTAATCCCTGCATCATCCTTCGGGTGTATTTCCTCACAATTAAATTAGAGTAGGAAATGCTTTGCAGCCCCTTCTTCCCCAAAGGCCCAATCTGCTTTAATGCAGGGATTAGGAATGCTCTTCAAGCCCAAGGTTTGGATGCAGCCAGTGAGACTCACATTTCAGAGGGACCATCAATGGTCTGATAAATACACAGCACTTTGAAGCAGGCTGCTGGGACTGAGGAGGGTATTTGAAGCCTGTTGAAATGCACTTCTAGCAGAAGTGCAAAATGAAATGTAATGTAGTAGCACTGGAAAATGAAATGCTGTTAGACAAGGCTGCTCCCCAGATTGGCTCTGCCTGGATCCACCTGCCCTGCAGCACAGCCTTCTCCCTTTCTCCTCACTGCCCTCTGCTCAGCACCAACCCAAAGCTGGGCTATTTCAATTCCTGTCAGACACAGAGCAGCTGATGGGCAGCAAATGCAGCCTTCCCAAAGTGGCTGCCCATGACCCGGCCTGCAGGGCAGAGCTCAGGGAGGAGGTGGCAGCTTCCTCAGTGGCTTTTCATGTCCTCTCTCTGCCGTGCAGACACTGGCATGCATGGCACAGCTCTGTTTTGGCAGCCGGTCCCTTGGCAGGGTTGTGTGAGCACAGGGTGAGCACAGGATGAACTCTCTCCTTGCTGTGACAGGGCTGACACAGTGACCTCGGCCAGCTGATGCTGCCTGTGCCATCACCTGGCACTGATGTGTTTGATGAAAATCCTTTTGCTGGGATTTTTCTCCTGAGAAGCCTCAGAACAGAAATGGAACCAATAACGATCTGCTGGCTGTGGAGTGTGGGCTGGAGATGGTTTAGCAACAGGGGCATCTTGGATTAGTCTCCTGTGCAGTTTCTACTTGATGACCAGTCATGGTCCAGCTGTGTCGGGGCTGTGAGCAGTCCCAGATTTTTATTTTTCATTCCTTTCCAGCTTTCTGATGTCTCCTTGCTCTTTTAGTATAGTTCTAATATCTCATTTTCTTTTAATATAATAGAGATCATAAAATAATATTTCAGCCTTCTGAAAGGTGGAGTCAAGATTCTCGTCTCTTCCCTTGTCCTGGGGACCCTCAAACACCACCACAGTCAGCGGCCGAGCGGTGTTGTGCGAGCCTCTCAGTAACCCTCGGCCAGTCCCGAGTTGGCAGAAACCGGGAGGCAGCCCCGACACGGCTGACAGCGAGGAGACACTGTCTGGGCCCCGAGGGTACTGAGGGCACCTGGGCTGGGGGCAGACACTCTCTGTGTGTGCCCCGAGGGTGCTGAGGGCACCTGGGCTGGGGGGAGACACTCTCTGTGCCCCGAGGGTGCTGAGGGCACCTGCGCTGGGGGGAGACACTCTCTGTGTGTGCCCTGAGGGTGCTGAGGGCACCTGGGCTGGGGGGAGACACTCTCTGTGCCCCGAGGGTGCTGAGGGCACCTGGGCTGGCGGGGAGACACTCTCTGTGCCCCGAGGGTGCTGAGGGCACCTGGGCTGGGGGGAGACACTCTCTGTGCCCCGAGGGTGCTGAGGGCACCTGGGCTGGCGGGGAGACACTCTCTGTGCCCCGAGGGTGCTGAGGGCACCTGGGCTGGTCGCCTTTGCAGCAGAAGAGACACCAGAGACATCAGTAGAAGATAAAGGGCCGACTCTTAGCAGGGGTTAATCCAAGGTTTTATTAGGAGTCCCAAAGGAGCTCCTGCACCTCGGGGCCTCCTGCCGAGAGCCCCGGGAGATGTGCCAAGGTTACATTTAAAGGGAGGTGGAAACCAAAAGTAGATAACATCCTACCAACCATTAAGTGACCCTAAGGGATGGATGCTGGGGGATAGACATTTAGGACAGCGTATGGGGCAAGGCTTGGGGGGCTGACTTCTAGCCTCTGGCTAATCACTCGACGATTTGGACCGAAACTTCTGGATGGAGGGGATGGGAGGCTGAGTGATTGACAGCCAGGGTAGGGGTTTGGGGATGATCTCATCCTGGGAGAGGGATAACACAGGTAGAAGGAGGGGGATACAGTTTGGGATAAACCATTTGGGAAAAATATGGGGATACAAAACAAAATTACTTCAAAGTATTAAAAAGTATAAAAATGCACTACAGCAGGTTTGGGCAGCACCAAATAAAATGTAATAAAATGCTTTAAAAATAGAAAAATTAAAAATAAAAATTAAATAAAATTAAAATAACAAAATTAATTTAAAATAAATGAAAAACAAAATAAAAACTGTAAAGTACTGTAAAGTGCCGTAAAAGTTCCATAAAAGGTAGTGCCGTAAAGCAAGACCCTCAAACACCACCACAATCACCAGCTTGAGTTGGTCTGGGCAGCACCAGATAAAAAAAAATAAAAAGCTTTAAAAATAGAAAAATAAAAAAATAAAAAATAAAAAATAAAATTAAAAAAAAGAGCTTTAAAAATAGAAAAATTAAAAATAAAAATGAAATAAAAAATAAAATTAGAAAAATAAAAAAAATGCTTTAAAAATAGAAAAATTAAAAAATTAAATTAAAAAAATTAAAAATAAAATAAATGCTTTAAAAATAGAAAAATTAAAAAATTAAATAATAATAAAATTAGAAAAATAAAAACTTTAAAACTAGAAAAATTAAAAATAAAAATTAAAAAAATGAAATAAAAAATTAAAAAATGCTTTAAAATTAGAAAAATTAAAAATAATAAAGAAATAAAAAATAAAATTAAAAAAAGCTTTAAAAATAGAAAAAATAAAAATAAAAAGGAAATAAAAAATAAAATTAAAAAAAAATAAATGCTTTAAAACTAGAAAAATAAAAAATAAAAATTAAATAAAAAATAAAATTAGAAAAAAAATAAAAAGCTTTAAAAATGGAAAAATTAAAAATAAAACTTAAATAAAAATAAAATTAAAAAAATAAGAAGCTTTTAAAATCGAAAAATTAAAAATAAAAAAGAAATAAAAATAAGATTTTAAAAAATGCTTTTAAAAATAGAAAAACTAAAAATCAAAATGAAATAAAAAATAAAATTAAAAAAATGCTTTAAAAATAGAAAAACTAAAACTAAAAATGAAATAAAAATAAAATAAAATAAATAAAATAAATTCTTTAAAAATGCAAAAATTAAAAATAAAAATTTAATAAAAATAAAATTAGAAAAATAAAATAAAAAGCTTTAAAAATAGAAAATTAAAAATAAAAAAGAAATAAAAAATAAAAAAAAAATAAAATAAATGCTTTAAAAATAGAAAAATAAAAAAACTGAAATAGAAAATAAAATTACAAAAATAAAACAAAAAGCTTTAAAAATAGAAAAATTAAAAATAAAAATTGAAGAAAAAATAAAATTAAAAAATATAAATGCTTAAAAAAAAGAAAAATTAAAACTAAAAATTAAATAAAAAATAAAAGTAAAAAAGTGCTTTAAAAATAGAAAAATTTTAAAAAAATAAAATAGAAAATAAAATTAGAAAAAAAAGGTTTAAAAATAGAAAAATTAAATATAAAAATGAAATTTTAAAAATTGAAAAATAAAATAAAAAGAATAAATAATAGAAAAATTAAATATAAAAATAAAATAAAAAATTAAAAAAATACTTAAAAATAGAATTTTTTAAAATAAAATAAAAAATATAACTAGAAATATAAAATAAAAAAGCTTTAAAAATAGAAAAAAAAAAATATGACAAAAAAGCTTTAGAAATCAAAAAATTAAAAATGAAAATTAATAAAAAATAAAGTTAAAAAATAAAATAAATGCTTTAAAAATAGAAAAATTAGAAATAAAAATTAAATAAAAAATAAAATTAAAAAATAAAACAAAATGCTTTAAAAATAGAAAAATTTAAAAATAAAAGATTAAATAAAAAATAAAATTAAAAAAAATAAATAGCTTAAAAAAATAGAAGAATGAAAAAGAAAAAATAAATAAAAAATGAAATTAGAAAAAAAAAAATTAATTAAAAAAAAAATGAAAAACAAAAACCATAAAGTGCTGTAAAGTACCACAAAATTTCTATAAAAGATAGTGTCGCAATCCACGTCTGTCGTAAAAGCGCCGTAAAGCGCGACTGTCGCAAAAGGTGCCGTAAAGCGCGACTGTCGTAAAAGGTGCCGTAAAGCGCGACTGTCGTAAAACTGCCGTAAAGCGCGACTGTCGTAAAAGGTGCCGTAAAGCGCGACTGTCGTAAAAGGTGCCGTAAAGCGCGACTGTCGTAAAAGGTGCCGTAAAGCGCGACTGTCGTGAAACTGCCGTAAAGCGCGACTGTCGTAAAAGGTGCCGTAAAGCGCGACTGTCGTAAAACCGCCGTAAAGCACGACTGCCGTAAAACTGCCGTAAAGCGCGACTGTCGTAAAACTGCCGTAAAGCGCGACTGTCGTAAAAGGTGCCGTAAAGCGCGACTGTCGTAAAACTGCCGTAAAGCGCGACTGTCGTAAAAGGTGCCGTAAAGCGCGACTGTCGTAAAACTGCCGTAAAGCGCGACTGTCGTAAAAGGTGCCGTAAAGCGCGACTGTCGTAAAACTGCCGTAAAGCGCGACTGTCGTAAAAGGTGCCGTAAAGCGCGACTGTCGTAAAAGGTGCCGTAAAGCGCGACTGTCGTAAAACTGCCGTAAAGCGCGACTGTCGTAAAAGGCGCCGTAAAGCGCGACTGTCGTAAAACTGCCGTAAAGCGCGACTGTCGTAAAAGGTGCCGTAAAGCGCGACTGTCGTAAAACTGCCGTAAAGCGCGACTGTCGTAAAAGGTGCCGTAAAGCGCGGCTGTCGTAAAAGCTGCAGTTTTACGACAGTCGCGCTTTACGACACGACCTTTTATGGAACTTTTATGGAACTTTACAGCACTTTACGGATTTTATTTTGTTTTTTATTAATTTTTAATTGATTTTTTAATTTTAATTTAATTTTAATTTAGTTTTTATTTTTAATTTTTATATTTTTAAAGCTTTTTATTTTATTTTTATCTTTTATTTTTAGTTTTAATTTTTCGATTTTTAAAGCATTTATTTTATTTTTTTAATTTTATTTTTCATTTAATTTTTAGTTTTACTTTTTCTATTTTTAAAGCATTTATTTTGGTTTTTATTTTTATTTTTATCTTAATATTTAGTTTTGATTTTTTTATTTTTACAGCATTTATTTTATTTTTTACTTTTTATTTAATTATTATTTTTGATTTTTCTATTTTTAAAGCTTTTTATTTTATTTTTAATTTTATTTTTTATTTAATTTTTATTTTAATTTTTTTTTTATTTTTAAAGTGTTTTTTTTAAATTTTATTTATTTCATTTTTAGTTTTCATTTTTTATTTATAAACTATTTATTTTGGTTTTTTTAATTTATTTTTTATTTCATTTTTGTTTTTGCTTTATCTATTTTTAAAGCATTTATTTTATTTTTTATTTTTTATTTAATTTTTAGTTTTGATTTTTTTATTTTTAAAGCATTAATTTTATTTTTTACTTTTTATTTAAATTTTTTGATTTTTCTATTTTTTCCATTTTTAATTTTATTTTTTATTTAATTATTTTTATTTTTTTTATTTTTAAAGCATTTATTTTATTTTTTTAATTTTTTTTTTATTTCATTTTTATTTTTCATTTTTTATTTTTAAACTATTAATTTTATTTTTTATTTTATTTCTTATTTCATTTTTATTTTTGATTTATCTATTTTTAAAGAATTTATTTTTTTTAATTTAATTTTTAGTTTTTATTTTTTAATTTTTAAAGCATTTATTTTATTTTTTACTTTTCATTTAATTTTTATTTTTGATTGTTCTATTTTTTATTTTTAATTTTATTTTTAAATTTTTTTTTATTTTTAAAGCATTTATTTTGTTTATTTTATTTTATTTATTATTTCTTTTTTATTTTTGCTTTATCTATTTTTAAAGCATTTATTTTATTTTTAATTTTTTATTTAATTTTTAGTTTTGATTTTTTTATTATTAAAGCATTTATTTTATTTTTTACTTTTTATTTAATTTTTATTTTTGATTGTTCTATTTTTTATTTTTAATTTTATTTTTTAATTTTATTTTTTAATTTTTTAATTTTATTTATTTATT